AGAATGGCTAATGTCACATCCTGGTTGTAGAAATTTTACAATGTGTTTACAAGTTCTTTTGACATTTCTCCCATCAAAGGGTGGGATCTATATCACCTCCCACTAAATCTGGACATATTTTGCTACTCACTTATAACTAATAGGATACAGTGGAAGTGTCACTATGTAACTTGTAAGGCTAGCTCAGAAAAGGCTCTATGGCTTCTGCTCTTGTGCTGCTCAGTCTGGGACAAGTCAGTCACTACTTAAGATGTCCAACTTGAGACCATCATACTGGAAAAACCACCTGAAGGCACTCTGATCAACAGCCAGCAGAGCTCCTTCTGGACAGTCAGAATTAACTGTCAGTCCTATGAGTGATCCATCATAGATCTCCAACTCAGTTTAACCTTCAGATGACTGTAGCTACAGCCAACAACTAAATCAACCACATAAGATAACCCAAGTGAGAAGTTCCAGCTGTCCTTCCAAATTCCTGAGTCATAAAACTCTGAGCAAAATAAAATGGTCATTTTAAGCCACAAAGTTTTGGACAAATTTGGTGCATAGCAATAGTAATGAGAACAGTGGTCTATCCACTTTACAGAAAGAACACTAGACCGGCAGGTAAGAAACCTTGTATCCAATTTCAAGTCTACCAATAACTAGATGGTATTCACCAGCCTGAATCAATCAGTTAATTCTATGGAATTCAGTTTCCTCATTCATAAATAAGACAAACAAGAGGAACTTTAAGGTCCCTTTTAGCTCTAGAATTCATAATTTTTACAGTCTTTGAAATGCCTCCTCCTAGTTTTCATTTTTGTTTTTGTTATACCACATGACTTTTCTATTTCTAACTCAAGACTTGAAAATAGGTTCAAAACCACAAATCAAAGACTTTGTAGTACATTTATCAACATGTAGTACATTTATCAACGTATCGAAACATACGTGAATATATATTTTACATAAAAATTATGATCACAATCATAATTAAAATAGAAATTTTCCTGACTTTATCACTAAAACCTTTCTGTAATTGGCCCTGGGTAATGGTCTTATCTTTAAACTTTTCTATACTTTACACCTTAAATATGTACATGTGTGACTTTTAAGATCAGAAAGAAATATGATCTATTAAAATTTAAGATACACATATGCTGGGACCTAGCAATTCCACATCTTAGAGACATATTTGCACATCTGCATAAAAAGAAACGGAAGCATTCTATCTTGTAATAAAAAATTAGAAACTAAGAAAATGACGAGATAAACTCTAGTGCATTAACATTTCAGAATACTACACAACAGATGGAAAGAAGAGAATACAAAGATTGATTTACATAACAGATTACAGAGTAAATAAAAAAAGTCACAAATAGTGTAACATTTATTTACTCACGCACACTATACAGTTCCATAAACACATAGTTATTTAATTACATAGAAATGGATCTGTCAGGGACATCCAAACTATTAACTGTAGATACCCAGAGAAGGGACTAGTGTTAGAGAGGATAAAGGGGAGACTTTTGTTTTATCTGAATTGTCCAGCAAAACAAGTACAATGTATTTGCATATTACTTAGGTAATCTTTTAATTAAATTTTAAAGATAAACTTCATTGCCTTTAAACCATGTGTTAGTAAACTATTCCCTCTGGAAAAATCAGCAGAAATTTCTATAGTATGACCTACAATAGCTCAAAATTCAAATACTTGAATCCGTTCTACTCATAAAGCACTAGGATAGAAAACGTTTTACCAAAAGCCAAATGTATACCTGGTCCATGATAGGGACTTTATATATACCATTTAATTCTAACATTAAAATTATCACCAGTTTTTCATGAGGAAACTTATGTTCAGAAGTTTAAAAAGATAGTAAAAAGCATAGGGATAGTATCAGCCAAGATTCAAATTTAGGTCTGCCTGACTGTAAAGCTCAAGTTCTTTCTAGTACACATATCATGCCTCCTTGGGGAGTACCTGAAGAATTAACTGTATAGTAAAAGGAAACAAAATTATGTTTCTGATGTTTCTCTTAAAGAAAAATTAAAGTAGATATCCCTTCAATTCACCTGCAGCTAAACAACTGCACTTCAAATCCTCAAGTTTTCAGATGCTCAAATAACTCCATTTTTATCCTATTAGAAAATGTAATAAATATATAAACTATACAAAGTATTTATTTATTTTTTGAGACAGAGTCTCACTCTGTTGCCCAGGCTAGAGTGAGTGCCGTGGCGTTAGCCTAGCTCACAGCAACCTCAAACTCCTGGGATCAAGCAATCCTTCTGCCTCAGCCTCCCGCGTAGTTGGGACTACAGGCATGCACCACCATGCCCAGCTAATTTTTTCTATATGTTTTTAGTTGTCCGATTAATCTCTTTCTATTTTTAGTAGAGATGGGGTCTCGCTCTTGCTCACGCTGGTCTAGAACTCCTGAACTCATACAATCTGCCCACCTCGGCCTCCCAGAGTGCTAGGATTACAGGTGTGAGCCACCGCGCCCGGCCTTATACAAAGTATTTTTAAATAGACTAAAAGTTTAATTATAAATTATGATTTAAAGGTCAAAGAGTCTAAACTACTTTTAAATATATAGGTTAAATATACATCACATGCTCTAAAAGTGAGTCTTCTCAGCTACTATTACAAAAATAGTATATTATGAGAATAGGGACTGAAATGAGGAATTTTAAAGTCAGCATCAAAAAGTAGTCACCATGATATTCACAGTGAGACATAATCATAATTAAGGACCAAATGATCACATAAAACATATTATATACAGAAGTTGCTGAAACACAGAATCGAAGAGGAAAGAATGCAAGAAACAGAAGAGAGGATCTAAAAAGGAGAAGATTAGAAGTAATAGTAATGAAGAAAGGAGCATATTTCAAATCCTGATATTGCCCTAGAAATTACTTTTCCAAGAGATTCATAAGTTCCCCTTCACTCACTCACTCACACACACACAAGCATGTCCTTCTAGCATCCAACCATAAAATATGATATTGTTGCAATGCAGTTATGTACAATTAAAGTCTCCAGTGGAAATGTAAAAGCTAAGAGTTTAAGCCAAGACAAAAATTACCATCACTTCTTTACTAGACAGGAGAGAAAGTATCTGTGCTGAAAATCAGTTTTTTACATATCCAGCAATCAATTAAATTCATGAAAATAAAGAATTGTTAGCAAGTCTATTGTTATGCATAATGCTTGGCATGATAAAAATAATATGAAGGTTCTAACCTACCATATAAATACAAACATAAAACCATAGATTTTGATTATTCTAAATCAAGTCAAGATGTTTAAATTATTTTAATAAAGTGTTGTATAATCACTAAACCATCGTTATGCAATAATTTCTAAAGTTTATATTGGCAATAGATATAAATAAGGCACCTATCCTGTTTGGCTGACTTTAGCCAATGGGGTACCCATTCATCCATTTGTATTCAACTCCTAATCTTCCCAGAGCTTGCCTTTTGATAGGCCATTCTGCCTCCCCACAAAATGCCCTTAGTGCAGAATAGCACTTTAAAACCACATCTATTATCAATTATTTCCTTCGGTAGCATATGAAGAATTAGCATTCTCACTCCCACCATTCCCTTCCCCACGTTCAAAATGGAATTATTTACACTTTTAGTTAAAATAATAAATTATATAGTTCTGAAAGTCTACTTTAAATATTAGTAAGTTTTCCCCATCTGTCATTATACCAATATTGTTCTTAAAGTAACTAATTGAAGTTAAAAAAGAAAAATTTTTAAGCTATTTACACAAATTTTTTTAATGAATTTATTTTATTTCTTTAGCAAACATAGATATAATGTTTACAATATGCCAGGTACCAGTGGTCTAAGTGCTTACACATATTAATTCATTCAATCTTAATAATATTCTCATGAATTAAGTACTATTATTATCTCCATTTTACAGATGAGGAAATTCAGGCATGGAGAGAGAAGTTTAGACACTTGCCCAAGGTAACAGTACTAATCGGTAAAGGAGCCCAAATTCAAATCCAGGTAGTCTAATTCCAGAGTCTAACTCCTCAGCAGCATACTGAACTACTTCTCCAATCTGATGAAAATACATTAAAATTGCCCAAAGTGAGACTCCACAAAATGTTACATTTTGCAAGAGCCTTTTGACAGGGGAAATACACTACCATAAAATTTAAATTTTAAGGCATTTCATCAATTATAAGACTTACATAACAGAAACCATCCTTTCAAAAGGAGTGTATTTGGCTTAGTTCATACTATATTATCAAGTCAAAATGGATTTCCAAAGGAAAAAAGATGTGTATGTTTAAATGTAATTTAACTTTTTAGATTTTAATCATTAAATGTATTCTTAGAAATATGGAATTTAAATTTTATAAGCATCAAGAACATAAATAAGTAATAAGCTGATTTTTCTCATAAATTATGTAATAAAATATAGAAATGTAATAAAGGATTTATTAGAAATATTTATTATTATTAAAGACTATAAAAATTGAAATTTCAAATTGATGGTCTATTTCTCAGTACTTTGCTTTCTTTTAATAATCCTTGATATATAAGCTATAACTTTATTATGAGATAGAAAAATAGTTACATTTCATATTCTTTCAATAAATTATTCTAGACAAATCTTTTAAACAATTTCATTGTACACATGACAACTATACGGATAAATTTGGGGATACCTTCTGAAGAGAAATCTCTATCTTTTTCTATCTCCCACTGTATTTTGTTTGTTCGTTTTTTGCTAACAGAGACACTGCTCTTGCACTATCTCCCACTTTTAAACTATGAAAAGAGAAATGAATTATAAATAAGAACTAAAAATCTAATTGTAGTTCTTGTTCTCTAAGTAACTGTGTGATCTAGACTTCCTTCAGAAGCCACTCTGGGCTTCAGTGTCCTTGCCTACAGAATGAGAGACTTAAACTAGATAATACCTATAAATCTGTACAGTGCTAGAAGTCTTAAAATTTTTAAACTTTAAATCTCACCTCATCTGAAGAATCTACTTGTCCCAATGTTCCTGCTGCCCCTGCAAAACCTTTAGAGGGGAGAAAAAAAAGTTGCCTTTCATAGTTGCCATATATTGCTTTACTTTAAAATTACTTTGAGACATACAGATACAAAAAAGCAAAGTAGGACACCTCATTCTGACAGTTACCTTGGCAAAGTTCAACATTTATCTTGAATAAGTTTGGACCTAGTAAGTTGATACTTCAATGGGAAATCTCCATTGAAAACCCAGATTTAATACAGTAATTACAAATGGTGTTTCAAAAGGATCTCTTTCTCTAATCTCTAATTTTAAACCATTGTTTACTTAAATACTGAGCTAGTAAAGTTTGGGGCTACTCTTGAATAGCAACTGTTACATTTTTCATGAGTTAGAACCAAACCTTAATAAACTAACCAAATTCCATTTAAGGAAAATGCATTCTCTGGCCAATCTATTCTTTCGTGCCTCTAAATTTTTACTAGTTTTACTACTTTTCTTACAAAGAATGACAATGTTTTAGCTCAAAATAAATTTCTTCAACAACGAGTAAAGTTTGAGGGGCTTCTTTAATACAGCAAAGTTACTACTGTTCAAATTAAATATTTAGACAAACCTTGAACTGCCAGAGTACTAGTACCAGCAGATGGCTCCTGCATACCATATACAAGCTTATCCTCAGGATATGTAAGTCCAGAGCTCTTCAAAGCTATAAGGTACTTTTCATGACTTTTCTTTGCACAAGCATTTTCTCCATGACCTAATATTTAAAACAAACTTAAAATCAGAAAAAAAAATATTCCATTCAAAATCTAAGTACAATCATCTCATTAACTAATATATATAAATAAAATTGGTGAATATTCTAATGGAGGGAAAACCCTAGAATGAATAATATAAAATAGCTTCAGATAATATTTTTCTGCTTACGTTTGGCATTAATAATACCAGAATGTATAGCATGTTTATAAAAATAGTGAAATCTACTAACGAATTGAGCATCTAAAATACGCAAGGAAATATATATGCAAGGAACAGGGGGTTCAAAGATTAATAAAGGAATGATCCCAGCCTTCCAGGAAATTGAAAATTAGTGGTAAAGAAAGGCAGACAGGTAATACAATAGATGATAATTATGAAGCAGGCTTCACCATTTAGTTTGACAAGATATACCCAAAGCACAGTGCTGAGAAAAAAAGGATTCCTAGAGGAGATACTACCTGAGTGGAATTTTCAAATATTACAAATGAAATTACTTTTAATTCCTGTTTTACTAAGCTTTTTATTATATATTTAAGAATTACAAGTATAATTTCTATAGATGTAACAGTTGAGAGTAATTTATTCCCAAAAATATTGAAAAGTTTAGGTTCTATAAACAATCCTAGAACCTTCATTATAGCACTTCAGCTTATTAATTATTGACAATTTTCTCTTTTGTTTTGTTTCTTAATATACTATGGAGGATAGCATAATAGTAAAAGAAAAACAGATTGATAGTTCAGAGTTCTTTAAGAAAAAATTATCCTCTATATGAAAGCCAAATCACCATGGCATATGTCACTTCTTAGGTAGATTATACAATTTAAATTAAGCTCTCAATCACTCTGATTATATAAATATACAAATGAGTTTAATATTTGCTGAGCTTTTCTATGTTTCTGTTCTTTGCTAGCCTCAATAATCGAAACAGAATAGTTTTGATGGGGTTTTTTTTTGTTGTTATTGTTTGTTGTAATTTCCAATCTCTATCTGGGCTGGTTTTAAAAAAACAAACTGCAACATAGATTAAACAAACGGGAATACATCCCTCCCTCAATTAAAGTCCCATATTAAAAACAACCACCATTAGTTTATAAAGAATAAAGAAACTTCAGAGTCCTACATAAGAAATTACTAAATGTCTCCTGAATAATAAAAGCCAGGCACTGATCTCAAAGACAGATGAAATTTTTGTAATAACCTTTTAATTAACAAATATATTTCATCAACCCCTCATAACAACCCTGAGAAAAATGAATGTATAATCACTTTTATAAGTGAAGAAACTGAGGCTTAGAAAGTTAACATAGCTAGCCCAGTGAGTGTGCAATCACAGTAGAACTGAAGCTAGACTGCAACAAACTTTTGAATCAAAATCTAATTTGATTTCCATCACTAAAAATAAGCTAACAATTGTTGTTGTTTAATTTCAAGAAATAAGAATTAAAAAGAATTGTAGAGAACTGAGTGAGTGAGTGAGTGGCTGGGTGGGTGGGTGGGTGAGTAAGTGAAAAAAAGAGAAAAAAAAGAATTGTAGAAATAAAAGAGGATAATTACCACAAATCATTCCTACGATATACATTCTTATAATGATTAAGAACAACCTGCCTGTTGTCTTTCCCAACAGTTGACAGTTTCTGAATAAAGAATCATTTTGTAGGCTGAAGAAAAATAATGGACAGCCAGGTATAAATTTTACTTCCCTCCAGCTTCATCACCAAAACTCAAATACAAGCTAACATCATCTTTATCCCAGACTGCTGCACTTGAGCTGCTGCTTTTCTTACCCCTTCCAATCTATTCTTGGCAAAACAACATTTTTTAAAAACACATATCTTTGAGGTTGAAACTGGTAAAAGAATAAAAATAAAAGAAAAAAAAGAAAGAAAAAGAAAAAAGAAAACACATATATCACTTTTAAGCTTAAAATATTTCCATTACTTCCCACTATATTCAGAATAAGATATTAATATAAAATCTTACACGGCCCATGAAGAAGACCTACCTGGTCTGTATCTAGTCTAATGGGGTAGCCTTTTTTTTTTTTCCTCTGTTAAGCCCTCCACCTGTAAGTCAGGGGTAGCCTTATCTATGTCACTATCCCCCTATATTCATTTCACTTCAACCATACTAGCCGTTTTAGTTTCTTATTAAAAAAATAAGTAAATAAGCTCAATCCCATCCATAAATATTGCTATATGCTGGTCCTTCTGCCTGGAAGCTAGGAGGTGTCTAGGTGTGATTTTTTTTCTTTTATTTTATTTATCCTGTTTGAAGCTCCATAAGCACCTTGGATCTATAAATCAATGTTTTTCATCCAATTTGAGGAACTTCAGTCATAATTTCTTCAAATGTTTTGGGACTTCAATAACATGCAACTTAGATTATTTGATTCTAATAGGTCCCTGAGGCTCTGTTGTGTTTTCCTCAATCATTTTTCTCTCTGTTCTCTAGAATGGATAATCTGCTGATGTGTCTCCAAATTCACTGACCCTTCTATCCTCTCCAATCTGCTGCTAAATTCATCTAGTGAATTTTTCAATTCAGTTATTGTACTTTTACTATAACTTTCAGTTCTAGAATTTCACTTTGGTTCTGTTTGATTACATTTATTTGCTAAGATTCCTTCTCATTAACATATTTTCATTTAATTCTTTGAATATATTTTCCTTTAATTTCTTGAGCATACTTACAATAGTTGCTTTAATGTCTTCACCTGCTAAATCCAACATCTGGGCCATCTCAACATCAATTTCTAGTGACTAGTTTGTTTTTATTTTTTCTTGAATATAGCATACAATTTCTTATCTTCCTGCATGCCCACTAGTTACCATCATATACTAAATATCTTTTTTTTTTGGAGACAGACTCTTGCTCTGTTGCCTCAGCTAGAGTGCCATGGCGTTAGCCTCACAGCAACCTCAAACTCCTGGGCTCAAGCAATCCTCCTGCCTCAGCCTCCCGAGTAGCTGGGACTACAGGCACGCGCCACCATGCCTGGCTAATTTTTTCTATATATTTTTGGTTGTCCAGCTAATTTCTTTCTATTTTTAGTAGAGACGGGGTCTCGCTCTTGCTCAGGCTGGTCTCGAACTCCTGACCTCGAGCGATCCTCCTGCCTCGGCCTCCCAGAGTGCTAGGATTACAAGTGTGAGCCACCGCACCCAGCCCATATACTAAATATCTTAATGACATATTATAGAAGATTCTTAATTGTTAACTTCCTCTAAAGAGTAGGAATTTTTATTATAGAAGCGAGTTCAATTACAGGCTGATCACCTAGAACTCATGAAGGCTTGCTTTTACACTTTGTTAAGGGCAGATCTGTAGAAACTAAGGTGCTCAAAAGGCCCTCTAAATCAACAGAAATCATCTCCAAACTCTGCCTCTCTTGCAGATACGGTCAGGGTTATAGGCTTTGTTAAGGCTAAAGTAGACCTTATTCCAAGGATTGGCTTTCTAGTCTCTCAGCTACATGCCTGGAGTATTAGTATTAGCAAGGAGGTCTCTCCAATCAGGTTGGGGTGAAATTCCAATGTGCCCAACACTGCTTGACCTCTCTTGATATCTCTATTTCACTTCTAACCCCACAGCAGTCACTCTCTAGTAGCCTTAGGTAGTCTCATCCTGTACATGTGTAATTTAGTCCTCAACCAAGCACTTTCAGGGGTCCCTCACAAGTCTGCCCCTGCATATCTCAGTGTTCTACCCAAAGAGCACACAGTTTCCATTGCTTCAGCTGTCTTAAACCGCACTCTCTGCATCCTTAACTCAGTGGGACCACCATGATCTGCTTCAATGCCAGCATGCTGTACTATAGTCAGGAAGCTGTCCCCAGCCAGAGAGTCAAAACAATTATGGAGCTCACCTCATGCTTTGCCTTTCTCTCAGTCTTGTGCTGCCTGTTGTCCAATGCTTAAAAATACTGGCCTCATCTTTTATTCAGTTTTATGTTGTTTATGGCACAAGAGCTAGTCCAGCAGCCGGAAGCAGAAGACAACATCTTCTACTTGGAATCTAACCCCCATTACTACCCAACTCCCCTCACCCTCCAGCCAAATGACTTTCTCTCAATCATTAGGATTTACTTTAAATGTCACTTCCTCAATGAAGCTTTGCCACCTGCCCTGCCACTGAAATCAAGTCTCCCATTTATAACCACTCGCTCTACCTTTTCATTGACTACAGTTTATAATTATACAACTTTTTGGTTTGGGAGTTTTATTAATGTAACCTCACTCACTAGACCATAAGCTTTATAAAGACAGAGACAGGATTACATGGTTGACTGTTACCTTCCCTACCTCATGCTCTTGTGTCCAGCACAGAGCCAAACACATAGTGGGTACTTAATAAATATCTGTTGAAGAACTAAATATATTAGACGAGACTATTTCTAAATAACATATGTTAAACAATACATATGAAAATTTCAGGCCGGGCGCGGTGGCTCACGCCTGTAATCCTAGCTCTCTGGGAGGCCGAGGCGGGTGGATTGTTTGAGCTCAGGAGTACAAGACCAG